CCAGCCCATCTCTAAAAAGAGGAGTCAGAGCCACTAAACAAACTTGAAGCAATCCTTTCCTCAGTAGCCACCATCCAACTAGTGACTTTTTCTTATCAAATCTTCTTTGGGAAAAGAAATTATGTATTTGTCTTACCTTGGACCTTGCAAATTTATGTCACCTGGTGTGTTTTAAAACTTTCCAACAAACTCCATTAAATTGAGTACATAATAAAGGCAGTCACTCACTTGGGATATTTATAGGAAAACCCCCATAGAATGAGCATAATGGGAAAAATAATGAAGCAATAATTATAATTCTCAAGGCTAATAATTTTAATAATAATTTATACTTAAACAACTCTACCTACGGAGATCTCAAAAATTTCTAAATTTTAAGTTCCACATGCCTTACAGTTCCTAACACAATGCCTGAATCTAATATTCCTGAAACATTCAAACACCATCAGTATTATTAACCTTATTTTATAGATGGTTAAACGGAGGCAAAGAAAATATGCCTGAAGTCCTGTAATCCTTAGCAACAGATTTTTGACTCAAGTACCTATATCAAAAAGCAACCTGTTAGATCTTCACAGTGGAATAATTTATGTCTCAGTCTACCAAGGAGTTCAGCTGTGTTGCAGTAACAGCTGTAACTGGTTTATGTGATATGACCTATGGATTTTATTCAGAGTCATAGTATCTATGAAAACAGTTGCAACTGAGATGAAAGGTTTCCGCAGCACAAGGCCTGTTCTTGGTTGAAGTGCAAGGGAAGCTTCACATTGGATTCTTGGCATGGCCCATCCCAACTGCGTGTCCTAGCCAGAAGGTCACTGCCTGACATGCCCTCTTCCTTTGCAAGGTGAACCAGAGCCCATAAAAAGCTGTGGTCACTTCCACTGTTTGTATAAGCTTTTTTTTTTTTCTGTTCCATTGTGCTCATTCACACATGATATCCCAAAACAGTTAAATAAAATGAGGGATATTATATCTGTCACACATGAGAAAACGGCAGTTATGGATTCGCTTAATGCATTCATTGCTTTTTGGACTCTGGAGTCCCCTGGGCAGTGCCACAAATCTCCTTGGTGGCCCTTGGTTCCATATTCTGTGTGGGACTCTCTAGTGAAGCCAGCATGTGTATAAAAGGTTCATTATTATTGTTGTTAATTTTTTTTATTTTTATAGCTCACATGAATCGGCCTTAACTCATGCTAACAGTAAGGGCTGCACCGGCCAAGCACATTATAGTAATCTATTGTTGGAATAGCTAGCTCACAGAGATACAGTGAGTGTCGGAGGCCTTGCTTTCTGAATTAATGCCAAAGGACGTGTGTTGTAGCCAGCACAGAGCAGGCAGCCTAAGCCACTGCTTCTGTAGGAAGTTTTTTGAGAGACCCAGCCCTCCTAATTTTCCAAAATTCAGTTCGGATAGATCCCTGTGATTTCTGTGGGCTCACAGCTTGCATTGTGAGGAAGGTGAAGCTGGTAGTCATTTGTTCCCATAAACAGTGACTGTTGGTGGTTGCAGCGGTGACACAAGTTTGCAGAGCGTGCTGTCCTTCCCACTGGCCGAGCCTGGGGGCTGCTCTTTGATTTATGGGCACGAGGCTCCTTTTGGAGAGGAGCTGGGAACCGTTTGCACCTTCCTGTGCAACACCAAGCACAAAGCGTTTGTTCAGGGAACTGGTTAGTCCTGGATTGCATGGCAGGTTTCCTCTGGCAGCTTATGGAGTTGCCTGGACCCCCACACCTATGACCCAATGGACCTGGCACAACAGTAAGTGCTCAACTACTGGTCCCTGTTATTATTATCTTCATGTCATTGTTATTATAGTCCTTCCATTTGCTGCAGAAAGAGTAAGCAGGGCCTGGATTTAATATATTTAATGTGTATATGAGCACCATTAATCACACACTATTAAATTCTCCCAAAGTTCTTTTCATTGGAATGATCAATAATCAAACAATTTATGTATTTATAATATCCATTTGCACTTTTGTTTTTGAATAAGTAATGTCAGGGACAATCTGTTTTGGTTTTCAGAGGCAAATGTATTCTACTTTGCAGATAGTAGATGCTCAATGAATATTATTGAATGAATAAATAAGTAAATGAAATCTTTAAGTTTATCAACTCAATAAATTAAACTATTTTATTTGACCATGTTTAATAAGTCCTTTTTAAAAATTTACCTTTATAGTTGAAAATATTACAGATGTCCCTCTTTCTTTACAGCACTCACCTCCATCCACCCTGCCCCTGCCCCTCTCAGGCCTCCACCACACTGTTGTCTGTGTCCATGGGCTATGAATATATGCATATAAGTCCCTGGTTAATCTCTCCCCACCCAACCCCCTCTGAAAGTCATCAGTCTGTTCTATGCTTCTATGTCTTTGGATCTATTTTGTTCATCAATTTATCTTATTCTTTAGATTCCACATATGAGTGCGATCATGTGATACTTATCTTTCTCTGACTGGATTTTTCTCTTAGCATAATAATCTCCAGGTCCCTCCATGCTGTCTCAAAGGGTAAGAGAGCCTTCTTTTTTACAGCTGCATAGTATTCCATGGTATAATTGTACCATAACTGTTTTATCCACTCATTTACTGATGGGCACTTGTGCTATTTCCAGATCTTATCTATTGTAAATTGTGTGTTGCTATGAACAGAGAGTTGCATATATTTTTTTTCTGATTGGTGTTTCAGTTTTTTTAAGATATATTCCTACAAGTCAATCCCTGGGTCAAATGGCAGTTCAATTTTTAATTTTTTAAGGAAACTCCTTACTGTTTTCCATAGTGGCTGCACCAGTCTGCATTCCCACCAACAGCGCACTGGGGTTCCCTTTTCTCCACATTCTAGCCAACACTTGTTTGTTGATTTGTTGATGATAGCAGCTATTCCAATAGGTGTGAGGTGATAACTCTTGGTCATTTTAATTTGCATCCCTCTGATGATTAGTGACTTTGAGCATTTTTTCATATATCTCTTGGCCTTCTGTATGTCAGCTTTGGAGAAGTATCTGTTTACATCCTTTACCCATTTTTTAAAATTGGGTTGTTTGTCTTCCTTTGGTTAAGTTATATGAGTTCCTTATATATTTTGGAGATTAAACCCTTATCTGAAATAGCATTGGCAAATATGTTCTCCAATGCGGTGGGCTTTCTTGTTGTTTTGTTGATGATTTCTTTTGCTGTGCAAGAGCTTTTTATTTTGATGTAGTCCCATTTGTTTATTTTCTCCTTAGTTCCCTTTACCTTAGGAGACGTACCGGTAAACATATCGCTATGAGAGATGTCTGAGATTTTGCTATGGTTTCTTCTAGGATTTTTAGTTTCACGACTTACATTTAAGTCTTTTATCCATTTGAGTTTATTCCTGTGTGTGGTGTAAGTTGGGGGTCTAGTTTCATTTTTTTTGCCCGTACCTGTCCAATTTAAGTAGTTCTTAAAGCCCACTATGCTCAGTAGAGAGGTAATGTTTTAAATATGGACCCTGTCTTTAAGAAGTTTACATCAGTAAGGAGGTCAGTCACATGCATACAGGTAACTAAAACCAAGATTATTTACTCAGTTATGATGGCCAGTGCTGTTGTTATTAGCTTTTGTTCCTGTGCGCCAGGTACTTTTTAAAAAGTCTACATTTACTATCTTGTTATATCCTCACCAAAAAATAATCTATTTCTATCATTCCTATTTTAAAACTGAAGGAAACAAAGCTTAGGAAAGTTATGTACGTTGTCTAAGGTCCTATAGCCTCTGAGCAGTAGAGCTGTAGGATATAATATGCTTAGCCTGAGTACTAAGTTTACGAATGGCCATTATGCTCTTTTATTTGTGAAACATATTTGATGTTCTATTTATTTATATTTTCCCTTGTTTTAATTCCACTAAATAGATGGTATATATCGATTCTATCATTATTCAGTTGTATGTGTTCTTAGTTTATCCTTAGTCATTTGTGGAATTGCACAGGACCAATTAGCTACATCACAGATAATAAAATGCTCAATCCTGTGTCATCTACAGTAAGTAAGATAACAGTTGGAAACGGAGTGTCTGAGCAGTTGACACATGAGCTTCTTCAGAAGGATGAGTCTAATCAGAATGTGTAGCAGGTGGGGAGACGGGTGCAGCGTGAACAAAAACATAGAAGCAGGATGAGCATGCTCTGGAGGCTGCCGGCAGAGAGACAGGCTGACTGCCCAGGTGTGGGAGAGAAGATGGAACGGTTTGGAGAAGCAAGAAATGGCCCATGGGACCCCCAGGCCCCACCCCCTCAAAGGTTTGAAACATGTCAGAGGCAGAATTAGAAACCAGGTTCTTTTATATATTTTTTAATTGATTTTTTACAGAGATGAAGGGAGAGGGGTAGAGAGTTAGAAACATCGATGAGAGAGAAACATCAATCAGCTGCCTCCTGCACACCCCCTACTGGGGATGTGCCCTCAACCAAGGTACATGCCCTTGACCAGAATCGAACCTGGGACCCTTGAGTCTGCAGGCCGACGCTCAATCCACTGAGCCAAACCAGTCAGGGCAGAAACCAAGTTCTTTTGAGCACCAAAGCCAGGATCAATCCTGGAGGCCCCTGCCTTTCCTAACAAGAGCCTCAAATTCTAGATGTTTAGACTAGAAAAACACGAACACTAGAAAAAACATGATGTTCAGTAAGAAGATCGTGTTTTGCTTTTTTAACCTCTTCACAAATATTCACATAAAAGAAGTACAGTCACCAATTTGGTTATCAGATAATTATTATTAGCATGAAATCACTGTTGTTCATCTAGCAACTGTTCCCCTTTAGGGAAGACAGGGTAAGGCTGAGTAATTTGCTTATCCTCCTTGAGGGCCTTGATAAAAAAAAGTTAGGCTGAGAATTTCAGGACTGTAATATATTTGTTAATTGCAGTTCTTATGTATTGGTCCTCTTTTGCTAAATCTGTGAGCTGAAATAATATTAATGCTCCTAAAATTGCTGCTAGGCTCAGAATTGACCCTCAGAAACAGGCCACTTTAGTTAGTGTAAGCCTGGGCTGCCCCTGGGCCTGTGTGCACACACTCAGTAGCCAAATTTCCTACAAGAGAATTTAAGGAAGAAAAGACATAGATTTTGAAGCTTGGATTCTTCTGTATCTGGATTCAGCACATACCATGTCAAATATGTCTTTCCTTTTTTATACATCTACGCAGATGATGTCCTTATAAGAGTGTGTAAATTGACCAAAGAGCTAACTTTCATTCTCTGGGGGGAAGCAGATGGAAAATAATCTAGTTTTAATTAGAATTGAGATCCTGCTGGTAAACACTTAAAGGTTAAACTGCCCTGCGCTGGAGGAGAAACCATGGGGTTCATTCTTTTTTTTAAAATTTTTTTATTACAAAGGGTATTACATATGTGTCCATTTTTTACCCCTGCCCTAGACAGTCCCCTAGCCTCCCCTATCCCCCAGTGTCTTATGTCCATTGGTTATGCTTATATGCATGCATACAAGTCCTTTGGTTGATATCTTACCCCCCTACCTCCCGCCCCCCAACCCTCCCTGGCCTTCCTCTTACCATTTGCAACGGCGTGGATGGAACTGGAGAGCATTATGCTAAGTGAAATCAGCCAGTCAATGAAAGAAAAATACCACATTATCTCACTCATTCATGGATAATAGAGACCATTATAAACTTTTGAACGATAATAGATACAGTGGCAGAGCTGCCTCAAACAGAGTGTCAAACTGCAGCGGGAAGGCTGGGGAGGGTTGGGGGGCAGGAGGTAGGGGGGTAAGAGATCAACCAAAGGACTTGTATG